AAGGATCATCTCGTTTGCTACAGTATGAGTTTCCATCAATGGGAATGACACTAAAAGTTGATGTTACACAGGGAAATTTGGCAGTTCGTGGATCATTTAGTGTTCAAAATCCAAATGAGCTCACACAAGATTTCTCTGTCATGAGCAATGGCAATGACATTGATTATTTCATTAGTCCCGAGTTATATGTACAGTCAACTACTGATGATGATGATGATGGTGGAAGTCGCAGAAAGAGACAGACATCAATACCCACTAATATTACTGATGCTAATGTGTACTTGTCTATTGTTGGATTGAATGATAACAATACATTTGTATTGAATACTACTTTTGGTGACACTACTGAGTACATTCCATCAAGCACTGGTAAGAGAGTGTATAACTGATACTTAACTCGATCTATGTTTCTCATTAGGTACCAGTGTTCTGGGCTCAATGATACTTATAATGGCTGCTTTGCTCTGTTTCCTCCTCTTTATATAAATATGGGAAGCTTGTCTTTGACTTTTTTATTAGTAGCGTAGCTTATTGTTAGATCTATATGCTGCATTGTTTTTTTTAAAGTGATCATTTTATTTTATTAGCAATTTTTGCCGTTAAGTTTTGTGATTACATTTTTTTTCAATAATGATGCCAGATAGTCTGACAGTTAATCAAACAAATGCAAGATTTGGTTTTCATTACGAGATACATTAGTTTAATATAGCCCTTCAAAAAATGGCTCCAAAATCACCCCCAATTTTTATACATTTTAAAATGTCTTGTGCTATACTGTAGAAAGTTTGAGCTGATGATGACTCATATTTTTGAGTTATGGCCAGTTTAAAAATGAGCCAATTTTTAAAGAAATACCCTTTAATATAGCTCATGCTTTTTTTATAAAAAATGGCTCCAAAATCACTTCCATTTTTGCTACATTTTTTGATACATAATGATGTCTTTATGTTACAACTGCATGTTGAAAGTTTGAGCTGATTCCGACAAATAGTTTTCAAGTTATGAGCATTTTTTTTAAACAATTTTTGCCTGCTAGTGTACAGCAATTAGCAGAGCACATTACTATAAAATCAATTAACTGCTTGTTTCACAGTACAGTAAGTATAGATTAACAGGCCCACTGAGAGGGGGGGGGAGCAGGGGATAAATCCCCTGGGCCCCTCACTTCAGGGGGCCCCATAATATTACAAGTAAATAAAAAACATTAAAAATGAAAAAGTAGTAGGATTAAATTGTAAAAAAGTAAAGAAACAAGAGGGTACTTGCAAAGTGGTGTGATAACAAATCCTACACCACTGCATGAAAGATATTATCCAAAAGCATT